TCCTCAACTATTCACTGGAACGAGATACGTANTATTAATTATACTTCGTTTAGTTTCTGTAGCGATGTGACCTTTAGTTTGACCGGCGCAAAGTAGAAAGGCTAGGAAAGGAAGGAGACAACTCTCTGCCAAACTCTTAACCGGTCAGGAGCGTATAATCTGTACAGTACTGCACGGAAAAATTGACCATTTTATTTACTAAAATTGCATTGCTTAAATGTGCTGTTATTTGTACCAATTACTACTGAAAATATCAACGATATGTTTATTTATATTTTAAGACATATTAAAGGCTTTAACGCTTGTTTTCGACTCGCACTACTATTCATGATTGAACAAAACTTTTGGCAGGTACTGTATGAAAAAGTATGTTTAATGAACAAGAGTCGAGAGTATAATGAGCTTTTTTTATCCCTACATACGATTTTGTCAGCGCGCACCCAAGACATTCAAAGGGGCACATCGCTAGAGAAAGTATATGAAGTATAACTATAGTTAAATTGTTGACTAGTCATTCTAAATTATATAGTCAATATTCAATATTAGATTCAAGTAGTTATATACCATTTCTAAGCATATAAATTCGCTTTCATTGTGGCATAGTGTACGCGCTAAATAGATAAACTTTTGCTGTTGTTTCGTTTCACAATAAGACTCCTCAACTATTCACTGGAACGAGATACGTATACGAATAATAGTTTTCGCTCGCATACTTGAAGGGGGGGCTGGGGGGTGACTAACTCTTCCTCCTACCCTTCCATCAACCATTTAGTGCGAGTAAATAGTTATCCACAAGAGAATCTGGTTTAAGTGAACACTACAAGTAGCTTTCCACATATTACACTGGTGCAGAACTTTCACAAAGTAAAAGCTAACTCTATGTTGTATTTAACAAAACCGGAAGTAACTTGATAACATTAACATAGATTTTCAGTCCTTTCTACCGAAAATTAAGTGATTTACCAAACACTCTGTATATAAGTTTGTTTAATCTCAACATTTCTAATGCCGTGTAATTATTTTTGACCTTGAAAAATATTCATTCCCTTACGGTGACCTGTATTGTTCTACTTAGATGAATTGGAGCCTCAAATTGTACTTTTTAGCTTTAGAAAAGCACTGAACTGGAATCATTAAAAATAAAACGCCTCGAGACTAAGAAATAGTCTAGAAAGGGTGCAGTTACACAGCTTATTGTAAACGTTACCGTATTATAAAATACGCTCATTTTTATCTTACGAACTAGGTTAATAAAATATAGATACAATGTATATATATATTACATATATTCAAAATGAGTCTTTTTATTCCAACCGTAAATAAAACGCTTCATTAATTCTAAGAAACCAATGCAACTTTTAAGCAACGATAAGAAAATTTGAGGTAAATATTTACTTCAGAGAGAATTGCTTGTTGAACCGTTTAATTATACAAAAAAAAAGGAGTATGTACTTTTTCTCTCTATTTACGTATTTATTTAACCGGTATGTACATAATAATAAATATTATTTAATCGATTGCAGCTAACAGTTGCCACTGACAGCTGTGCGCTGCGCGCGCAACTTGCTTTAGACAATGCGCGCGCAACTTCCGTTGCATGCTGCGCGTGCAACATCCGTAGCAGGCTGAAAGTTAGTATAACTCGAAAAACTCGATAATACTGATAATATAAAAGCAAAATAAACATATTTATTCATTTAGTGGATATTCAAATTATTGTAGCCATTATTATCTGTCCCAACGTTAGTATTAAATTAATAATATCAATCGCCATCTGAAATGAATATTAACCATTTAAACAGAGAAACATTGCCGTTCCTAAATCATTACATAAACGAATGTCCTAGAACAACAAGAAGGAGACTCGAGTGCNTAAAAAATAAATATCGCACATCTATGAGTATTATATATTTGATTTGAAGAACATTGATTGTACCAATCACTTGAATTTAGATTTTTGTTGCATAAGAAGGCTAGCTTCCGGATTTGTTATTTCCGATTTTTATAATGTGATTGGCATTAAAACACGCTCACCTTCAACGAAATTTCCTTTCCGAGGCTTTGTGTCAGCCCAATCACATATTGTGTCAATACTTATCATTTTATCGTAATTTAAGAACTTGGAAATTGCACGGTACACTATAGGAACTACGATAAATTTTCCCTAATCGACGCCATGTTTTTAGGTTCCTATTTGACGGATCCCAATATGTGATAGCATTTAATATCGCGTATAACTCAAGAGCGTAGTTCTAATTAAAAATCGGAGAGCACAGGTCATTCATAGAATTTCGATTTCTTTCGTATGACACCTCTCACGCAAATCTAATTTGAAATAGCGGTTCCGTTGCAGCTTCGTCCGCAGTATACGAGGGGATATTCAAATTATTGTAGCCATTATTATCTGTCCCAACGTTAGTATTAAATTAATAATATCAATCGCCATCTGAAATGAATATTAACCATTTAAACAGAGAAACATTGCCGTTCCTAAATCATTACATAAACGAATGTCCTAGAACAACAAGAAGGAGACTCGAGTGCGCCTCGAGTCTCCTTTGTTGCGCCGGGACATCCCCAACTGTCATAAACTTTGATCTTGGCCTGTTGCCCCGCCTCCTTTGCTATCTCCTCCACCGCCACCGCCGCTCGACGATCCACCTTCTCCTCCCCCGCCGCGTCCTGTTCCCCCACTTCCACCTCTGAACTCCAGTTTATACTAAAAAACATTATCCGTCAATTCATTTTCTAGAAAACACTAATACAATAATTAATAGCAACAAGCAACAAACAAAAGCTATTTAAAAACGCCCTTAAATATGTACAAAAGCAACCCTTGTGATTAACCATAGAGTCTCAAATCATTAGTGTGTGAACATATTAACAATTATTTGAAAAAGTGTCAAGGACATTTGGTATTTTGTTTTCTGTAAATTTTAAAAATAATTTATAAGAAGTCATTTTCTTAATAATAATTTACCCCGCACCCGTTCATAAGCATTAAACTATTAAATACACGTATTACTTGATTAATTAATAAACATTTCTCATTAAAATAGTGTACACGAAGTATCCCAAAATCCCCCTAGCTTTACTACTAATGTAGTTATTTATATATAAATCACTGACATAGCAATATACGAATGAAACATAAAATAGCGGGAAACATACTGTCAAAGGTAAGCAATGAGGTAGCAGGTGCCTAGATTCTATTGGATATCTGTACTGCACACGTGCCAATAAGCACCTTGCTGATACAGAGACAGCCAATAGAATCTAGGCATCACCGTATAAGCGTCACCCAACCTATCCTAAGAGGCTACACTGTTCTTATCTACAACGACTCTATGCCCTATGTAAATAATTTGAATATTAGCTAATATTTTCAGCGATAATTATGGCTAGCACCGTACAAGCTTTAGCATTATTTGTTACTGTGAAATTTTGTAAGTAATATTCGTGCCTCATTACAAAAAAAATCAGGAACAGGAACGATAAACTGAAAAAAAGATAAGCCTCGTTAATATAATTTTTGTACAGTTCATAATTACGATTTGCCTTAGTTTTGTACAAAGTAAAGTAATTTAATCAATTTGAGAAGTTAAGAACATATTTGTTTCGTCCTTTTGATTTCTAAAATATACACTATGTCTGACCAGTACTCCGGAAAAAATTAAGGGAAATGAAGGTACATGAAAAAGAAGTAGAATGTTCCACCTCGCACCGCTCAGTGAAATATGTAAACAAGAGGACAGTGACCTTACCGAAAGTCCTAATTGCTCCAATACATTGTTTTTGCTTGATATTTCCACATTCAACTTATTTTTGTATTTTGTAGTAATACTACGAACGCCAATGAGTTTACTAATCATTACGTACAATTGACTTGTCTACGTATGAACTGTTGCGAAGGTCACGAATAGGTATGTGTGTTTCGTTGAAATCCGATAATCGTTGACGGCTCGTTAACCGGGGTACTTTTTGTGCACTGTTTTTACATCCCCTACGTTATAGTACTATGACAAGATGTACTCTACAGTGCCTGCAGGTGTTACCCTTTAAATACTCCGGAATACTGACGAAACATAGTGTATTCATAAAAAAAAAATTTTTCATAAGCTTGACATTAGCTCTACTAATGTTATATACATATATACAATATCACGTAACGTTATTAAAACTAAAACTTTTAAGTTGAAGGCTAAAGTTTTGAAATTAGTTTCTGTTTTATATACGAGAGGATCAGTAACAACTTCGGAGAAAAACGAGTAAGACATCACTTCAATTTCCACATGCGATAAATTTTTTTTCAAGTTGATAGTAAATGATTAAGTGTAAATTTGTGTTAATAGATCACAGTTAAAGCAGTCCGGCTAAATTTTCATTTATGGTGAAATGACAAAAAAATTTAATAATCAATAANATATCGCGTATAACTCAAGAGCGTAGTTCTAATTAAAAATCGGAGAGCACAGGTCATTCATAGAATTTCGATTTCTTTCGTATGACACCTCTCACGCAAATCTAATTTGAAATAGCGGTTCCGTTGCAGCTTCGTCCGCAGTATACGAGGTCTGTTCAAAAAGTACCGCAAATTTTGTGTGTTTTTTCAGAAATTATTTATTTATTTTTTCCCCTTCAAAGTAATCCCCATCAGATATTATAAGCTTGTGTTAACGTTTTTTACAAACCTCGAAACGCTTCAAAAAATAATTTTTTATGATTTTGTTCAGCTCCTCCTTCGATGCCGTCTTTATAACCTCAATAGCAACATTGTACAACCCTTTTTTTAAACTACAATATTAATATACAGATCATAGTTTTCTTTTAAGAATTTTTAAAATGTAAATTAGTTAGTTTTGTAAATTTAATTCAGTTGCTGATTTAATTATTTAAAGCCGGACCAGACCACCTTTAAAAGTGACAGTTTAAAACAGCAACTTCCGTTAGTAAGTTACATAAAAATAAAATTGAAAAAAAGAGTGTCACCGATTATTTATTCGTTGTTATCTGGGTAATGTTGCGTATTCACCAAAAATGCATAATCTGTTTAAAGCTTGAGGGCTTAGTTGAAACGGTAAATGTTTTCCGTCTAATGACACGCATGGAAATTTCACCCTTTGCGGCATTGACAACTGGTACTATTAAAAATTATAATGTCAATCGATATGAAATAATCTAGAAAAGCTAGGATGTAGAACAACTGAATCTACAGGGTGTTTCTGAAATATGTGGTAAGCTTGTAGGAGATCATAAGGCACTATGGCCCCAAAGTATTTGAAAGTAGAGACAATAGCCAATCCGGTTCTGATAGATCAGACAGAATACAAAAATGTAACGCCTTATTCAATCAGTTGATAATTAACAGCATCTGTGTTGTATTTCTTTCGTTATTTGTTAGATTAGATTACATGTAATTGATGATATTTATGTTACAGACAACCTGTAGTAGTTCTTTGTGCTTTTAACGTTATAAGCTTGTACGTACGTAGTCAATCGAAGACATTGGCAGTAGGTCCGTGTGTCACAGTCATAGGTCAGTGTAGAACACTTTTTTCTTCTTAACCACGCTGCTGTACTCACCGTGCGTTTGTCTATTGCATCCAGTTCCAAACATTGCCACATATTTCAGAAATACCCTATATTTATTTGTTGATAACTCAAATCGGTCTATTGTTTGAAGACCGAATTAAAACCATTTGGTTCACTAATACTTGTTTGACTTTTTGTTTCTCTTCGAATTCACTACGTATTTAAATCACTAAATTATTAAGGCTGCAATAAATAGTTACGTAATACTACATACCTTGGTGGCGCATTCAAAACAGGTTGTGACAACCTTTGATATGACGTTCATAAGATTCTTCGTTTCCTGTATCACGTTATCGACTTTGGTGAAGGTCGCTGCTTTACCGACAGTGTGGTCCTTAACAGTGAATTGCAGTCTTTGTACGAACGTCGGCACCTTATCTAAATGCTCTAAGAGCTCTTTTTTATTTGCACCTCCAGGAACCTAGAGCCGCAAAGTGGATTATATTGCACAAAACAATACATTCGAAGGAAGAAACAAGCAAACCGGTGCAAGACAATTAAATAAAATAAATGTAAATAAGGAAACTTTACAGGGTGATTTATAATCTTTTTTAGTCAACTGTGAACCTCTATCTCCATATAAATAAAATAATAATAAAGTCCGTTGATATGCACTTGATAGGCTTTCATCAAACTTTTTAATTCCATTTCGCTATAGGTTCAATACCTTTTGGATGGTGACCGACGTGATTTCTCATTTGAATGTTAACAGGGGGGGGGGGTCACATTAATATGAACTCCCAAAACAAAAAGAGAGGGGTATAACTTTTTGGGTAGTGACCGCAGTGATTTCTCACTTGAATGTAGATGGATGGACTTTCTACATGAATGAGGACTCCAAAACAGAAAGTTTAAATAAATTCATTTCATATATTGAAGGTCCATAACGTTAAACAAGTTTTAGGTGATGATCGCCGCGATTTCTCATTTGAATGTTGTGTTATAGGCGGATGATGAGGGTAACGTGGGTAGAAAAGGTTAGAAATGAAGAGGTATTCGAAAGAATAGGAGGACTCTATGGAAGTCAATAAAAAATAGGCGATATATAGGTTGGTAGCACATCTTCTCAGGCATAAAGGTCTAGTCAGAGACATATTAGAGGCAGAAACAGGAGTTAAGAGGGGTAGAGGTAGACCTAGATTAGATTACTGTTCGCAAATAGTTAAGGATGTGGAATGTTCTAATTTTAGGGAAATGCGAAGTTTAGCTCAGAATAGGAAAGAGTGGAGGTACGTGACCAACCAGTCTTAGGACTGACGACCTTATGATGATGATGATGATAGGGGAGACAACCCCATTAATACGAACTGTCAAAGCAAAAAGGACCAAACAACTCATATAGGCAACTATCGGAAATTTAAAAATTAAATTTATTGTAAGAGATTTCTCTCTTGTTAATGTTAATAGAGGGAGGAGGCTACACGCTATCCCCCCTCCTCCCCAACAGTGGTTACAAAAACCTTCCGGGGATTAAGCTAAACATGTTTGGATTTTTAGGAAAATGCTTTTCTGATTATGATCCAATATAGAATTACAGAATCACTCAACTCAATTAATAAAAGAAGAATAAAGAAATACTTTGTACATTGCATAATAAGAATTATAATTACCCTAACTGCAGTTGCAATTCGTCAAAATTCGTCGTCGTCACATCCAAGTTATAATCACCCTGTACAGCACCAAATAAACACTCGAAAATAATACAAAACAACAAACTATTACAAGGGTTGCGAAAAAGCTTTTGCTTGTTTCTATGCATAGAAAATTTTATAAAAAATGTTCATACTTGCCTGCCAAAGGTATATATTAGGTAGTCTCTTTTTTAGTACCGCCTATACCTAATAATTTTTTGCATCTTCTCGATGATAAAAATTCAATACACAAACTTTCACTGCTCGCGTTATTATTCTATGCATAGAACATTTTGCTATCGTGCTACATTACGTGCTTGTTAAATAGAAAATAAAAACCGGCCGGGGGTTGCAAAACAAGAGCGCTATTAAAGCAAAAACTTAAAAATACTAAAACATCAAACAGCAGCAAAACATTTTACTAAAATCATAAGTGCTGCAGTCAAAGCAGCAATAAAGAAATAAATAAACGTGCTGCCTGTAAATTTTTCAAATATAACTGGAGTCCTTCAAGTGGAACCCAATAAAATCTCTTTATTTTTCAGATGTTGTTAAAAATGTTATATATATATTTCTTCTTAAATATACAGGGAGGCTAAATAACAATCATTTCTCTGTATAAAACTTCGGAGTTATCAAACTTGTAGCAGTCGCTTCAGTTAATATTTATTTGATTGTTTCTCGACGTTTTAAAGTAAATTTCTATAGACATTTTGTAAAAAAAATGTCGACAATTATTTATATCAACCTGTTCATTCTAACCCAAAAATCCAAGAAATGTATTAGATAACAAAAGCCATTAAAAAAAAAGAACTTTTATATATGGAAAGTCCTTTTTGAACGTTTGAAGGAACTATTGGTAAAATTTGATCTCAAACAAGAAATAATATCCAAACCCTCGATACCTTTCAGGAATTTTTAAATCTAATTTTCAGTAAAATATAGATTTTTATTCATTTTTACCACCACTCCAAAAATTTGTTGTACTTTTCACCTTCTAGTTTAAAAATAAAGTAGGTTTTACATTTACATTTATTAGTAATGTTAAATCGTAAAAAACTTAATGTAATAACGAAATAATAAAATTCGAATCTATTTTTTGGTAAATATAATAAACAAAAGTTGATCCAATTTTTCCAAAAAAACGTCTAATTAGACACCAGAAAACGTAAATAATCTCAATTTTAATTTCCGTTTTATATGTTATAGACGGCACGTTTATGAAACTATGGAGGTAGCTTCGTGAATGCGACGGAAATACGTAAGAAAATTTGACAGAGGGAAGAGCGCGCAATTCAGTAATTGCTACCTATAGTTGGCGTTTGAAAGACAAAGAGAAAAAGGAAGAAAGAGAAAAAAGATACAGCTGACGACTAGTCATTATATAGTAAGCTTGGTTTTGAACAACATGACGCACTGCCATGTAGCTTAAGTTGTAAAATCATTATTTATAATATAAATTGAAGAATTTTAGAGATTTATACGAATTAATTTCTAAAATATAAAATATTAACGTGAAAATAAATTTTCAATTTTCCATCCACTACAAACTACCTCAAGTTAATGAGGGAATTTTTATTAATAATTTTTGCAATTGATACTTAATTCCTTTTAATGTTATGCGCTAATCAATCATTTTAAAATTAGTATCTATATAAAATATTGACGAATTAATCTACATATATAAAAATGAATGTGTGTTGTTTGTTCTTTATAGAATCGTAAACCATGCATTTCATCATATCATGATCTTTAGCAAAGTTGTTGTTCATGAGTCAAAGAAGGTTTCTGAGTTGGTACGACCAAATTTCGACAGAAAAAACAAGAAATATTGTGTATCCCACAACACCAATAAATGTCGAATTAAAACGAAATGTCACAATTTTTTCGAAATGAACAAAATCAATAAAATGACTCAAAATTAATGGAATATTTGTGTAATGTTTTTCCTTCAAATTTATATCAGTTGGTGGCGTAGCAACGCGCGCAGGGTACAGCTAGTTAAATTATAAAAACAATTAGGTTTTGTTAAATGTGTAACAATACTTCAATCTTTACCAGACCAGTATTTTAACGAAAACTTTGTTCGTTATTGATGTTTGATGACACACATTATCGTCAACTCCTGTATTGACTATCATTTTGTAGTTTTTATCAATTTTCAAAAACTATTAAAACTGCCAAGATAAATATCAGCAAGTACACATATCTAAGTAAAATGGTGATGCATGTAATACGTGCACTATTAAAAATATTGCAAAAGAAACGTCAAAGTTTGCATTGGGTTTTAGCGCAACCAAAAGGGGGAAATAATAAGACAAAGTCAAACGTAAACGGGGAAAACAATGCAACGACTTACCTGATAGCTGAACTGCCTTATCACTTTGTACAACCTGTTCGCTTCTTCAGCAAAGTACTCCGCCTGTGTAAACAAATCTTGTGTTGTCTTTAGCGTCCCTTCGCCTTTCGTGAACTGGTACATGGACAGGGCCATCGCAGACATGTTTTTCGCCCTTTTTACTATGTCATTATTTTCCTGTGCACAAAGAGAAAATATACCTACTTAATTAATATTAATTTAATGGAGAATGTTGAAATTTAAATTAGCGTTTAATTTAAACAAAAATAGTATAATGTTTAATCATTCTTACCTCCATTTGCGTGTTGCTTTCTTGCCATTTCTCCGTTTCTGCGTCCATTTCACTACTCATTAGTTTCATTTCTAAACCAGATTTTGCTATCTTTTCTTGTTCCTCAGTGTCCAAACGAACCGCTTTAAGAGGTTTTGATGTTGTGCCATGTTTCTGTAAGTCATGGAGACTTACTTTCAATTTAATTTTTTTAATATTCTTACACAAGTGTAAATACGAATATAAATGCTCGGTGAAGAAAGAAATGATACACCTAAATTATATAAATATTAACTGTTATCTCTGGCGGCCTCGCCAGAAGCAATTGGGATCCGTCAAATGGGCATACACCACCTGGTGGCAAAACTCGTCACTAAAATGAGGGATAAATATCCGAGGGAATGGTATACATAAATCGTAAAATTGTTTATTAAAATAATAAAATACGTTAAAAAAGTAAAAATTTTTTTGATGATGGAGTCGACGAAGTTTTCTTCTAAAGTTAAATCAAATAAAAAGTTAATATGTTCAGTGAAAAGCTGCAATAGCACTTCAGACATAGATCTTCACTCTTCACCTACATTAACTACTTTCCAATAAAAACTAACCGTTTTATATATGTAAAAAATATATTCGGAAAATTAGAGAAAAAAGTAAACTAATAGAAGCTTGGATGAAAGCAGTAGGTATCAAAGAAGTGAATTCCGGAATAAAAATTTGTTCACGTCATTTTAATGCACATGATTATATTTCAGCAAGTATTTACCATCAGCCATAACCTTAATATTTAAAACTAGAATCATACTAAAATTATAAAGTGAGAAATTATTTATTCCTGTGTAATTGATTTAACACAATTCTAATGATACGATATAAGTATTTTGAGGTTAAGAACCTACCTGCTGCAATACAACAAAGTTGCAATAATGTGTTTGCAACGTTCTCTTAAATCGGCTTTGCACGTGCAAGTCATTGATATGATATTGCTTAAATCACCCAGAATCACCTCACCAATTATATAACGTGAATCACTTTTTAAATCCGAAGTTTGTAAAAAGTAGGCAGTAAACTTGACGGAATTTGAAGGCTAGCTTCCGGATTTGTTATTTCCGAATTTTATAATGTGATTGGCATTAAAAACACGCTCACCTTCAACGAAATTTCCTTTCCGAGGCTTTGTGTCAGCCCAATCACATATTGTGTCAATACTTATCATTTTATCGTAATTTAAGAACTTGGAAATTGCACGGTACACTATAGGAACTACGATAAATTTTCCCTAATCGACGCCATGTTTTTAGGTTCCTATTTGACGGATCCCAATATGTGATAGCATTTAATATCGCGTATAACTCAAGAGCGTAGTTCTAATTAAAAATCGGAGAGCACAGGTCATTCATAGAATTTCGATTTCTTTCGTATGACACCTCTCACGCAAATCTAATTTGAAATAGCGGTTCCGTTGCAGCTTCGTCCGCAGTATACGAGGTCTGTTCAAAAAGTACCGCAAATTTTGTGTTTTCTCAAAAATTATTTATTTATTCATGAATTATTTTGTCCCCTTCAAAGTAATCCCCATCAGATATTATACACTTGTGCCAACTTTTTTTTAAATATTAGAAATACTTCAAAAATAACTTTTTGTGATCTTATTCAACTTGTCCTTCGATGCCGTCTTTATAACCTCAATCGCAACATTGTTCTTCCAGGGCCTCTTCAGTTTCTCGAAGAAGAAATATCAGAGGGGGGCAAATCTGGGAAATACAGTAGCTGCGGCATTACTAGTGTGTTATTTTCGGCCAAAATACCAACATAACGCCACAAAAAAAATCGAAAATAGAATGTACGTAACCCGCAGAAATACAAAATTGGCGATACTTTTTGAACACACCTCGTATGTGGAAACATTGAGTACTCTATATAATTCAATAACATGGTTCTGATGAAAAATCGAAGAGCATACGTCATGAGTCTCATGGGTTCTTAATTATTATATCCAATTTAGAATATGTAGGATTTTTAAATAAGTATTAGGTAAATACCTAATTTATTTAATTAAAAACATGAAAGCAAATATATAACTCACCCCTGGTCTAGGCAGCGACATGTAAGTTTGTTTTTCAGGTCGGCACTGTCCAGATTCTAGCACTTCCTTGACGACGGCCGAAACGTCCGAAACAAGCCACTGAAACATGTCCGCGAAGACTTCTAAATTTTCCTGGGCTATTTTACTATTTGGATTTGCAGCCACCGTTTTCGCAGCGGTAATTACCTGATGATGGACAATAGAAACAATAAAAATGAAGAAAATGTACGAAAGACTTTACGTTAATAATAGTTTATTTCACTTCTAACTTGATAATCACTCACCTGAGGTCCGTATACTCGTAAATTAATTTCGGCAAATTTAGCGGTCACCTGTAGCGTCTCCGACATTGCTACGTGTCTAAGTAACTTACATACCTGCATAAGTAATAAAAATACAGTCAGGACGAAAACTTTACGATAAATTCGATTTATTTTACAGCGATATGCATAATTTGTTATTATTTTAAGTCGGTATCATTCATATTCATATGATTTTATTCATTTATTAATTTGTATATAAAATAGTTTTATTGGATAGAGTTAATTTCTTCTTTTATTAATTTACATAATTCTATTATAAGTGGTATCAATGCACAATTGACATAGTTATCCAGTAATCAATTCTCAAAATTGCTACTACTCAGCGTACTGGTAATTTGTAACTGACATCTCTCACACAAACTTGGGCAAAGCCCTCTACAAGATGACTCCAAACCCTAAATTCAAAGCTCTTATACTTCGTTTAGTTTCTCTAGCGATGTGACCTTTAGTTTGACCGGCGCGAAATAGAAAAGAATAGCACTAGGCCAGAAAAGAAAGGCCAAACTCTTAACCGGTGAGGAGCGTACAATCCGTACAGTACTGTACGGAAAAATTGACCATTTTATCCACTACAGTTGCATTGCTCAAATGTGCTGTTATTGGTACCAATTATTACTGAAAATGTCAACGAGATGTTTATTTATATTTGAAGACATATATTAAAAGCTTTAACGCTTGTTTTCGACTCGCACTACCATCATGATTGAACAAAACTTTTGGCAGGTACTGTGTGAAAGAGTATGTTTAATGAACAAGAGTCGATAGTATAATGAGCTTTTTTCTCCCTACCTACGATTTTGCCAGCGCGCATCCAAGACATTAGAAGGGGCACATCGCTAGAGAAAGTTAAGGAAGTATACTAGAAGTATCTTGACCTTTAAAACCCCAATTACCTTTTAAGATCTATGAACTTCGAATTACCAGTTAGGTACTTCAAAATCAATTGGATTCAAACTTCTAAGTACATTCGAGGTGTTTCAAGAACTTTAAAAGTGTTTGAAGCATTTGATAGTGCTTCAAAAGGTTTTACAGTGCTTGAACCATCTTTTCATTTGAAAATGCTTCAAGAACTTTTAAAGTGCTTCAAGTTGTTTGAAAGTGCTTGAATATCTTTGAATTACACACTAAAAAGCACTAATTTATTTACTAAACCCGAAACCCCAACAAAGGCTTGAATTGCAATGCTTCTAATCCCCTGAAAGGACTAAAAACACATTTTCAAGCACAAATCATTAACCACTGCCCAACTCTGCTCTCAAATTGTTGGTCGATATGTCGAAGGAATAATATCCGAACTACGTAACTGAAAGTGTCAAACTAACCTCTAATATGTGATCTAATGAATCTTGAAAGGCACAAGAGGTATGATGAAGTCTATCGGAATCTGGAATAGTTGCGTGCTGTCGAATGGCTGAAATAAGTTCCTGACTTTGTTTCGTGGTTGCGCTGAGTTCCTGAGCTTGCTGTAAGGCAGCCTGGAGCAATTCTCTAGACAAGTCCTTGGCCTCCGCCAAAGTTGCCAACACGCAAGAATCAAGCTCAGGACAACTTGTTGCGCCCTCGATTGCCATCTGAAATAACGTCAGCCCCATTTCACAAGTGGCAATGAAACGAAAACATTGTCACAAAAGATACATCTATGCAGAACGGGTAGATAGGTACATGTTAAAAGCGAAATATATCATTGCCTTTTTCCAGAAGTTAACACCTAACAATTTAAAAAGATTAGATTTAACTTGGGTCCATTTTTCAAAAATGTACTATTTGATTTGACGATTTATAAATATACAAAATGTACACTAGCAATACAGAAGAAAAAAGTAAGGAAGAAGAAGAAAAAATAACAAGATACCATATTTTTAAACAAGTACTACTATAAATTCATTAGGTAAATCATTACTGTAAATCAGAAATAATAGAGGGCCAAGAATAGTCCCTTGTGGAACTCCAGTTATACTATAGAGGCATGTTTTTCGTGTTCAATCTTCCCCAACGTTATCGAAGTTGGAAAAACGAGAGATACCATATTTTCAAACAAATGCTACTATAATTTAATTAGGAAAGTCATTAACGTAAATCAGAAATAATAGATGGCCAAGAATAGTCCCTTGTGGAACACCAGTTATACTATTGGGATCCGTCAAATGGGCATACACCATCTGGTGGCAAAATTTATAACTCGAATGAAGGAAAAATTTACATAGGAACTGTACACGCAAATTGTAAAATTGTTTATTAAAATAATAAAACACGTTAAAAAAAGCAAAATTTTTTTTTATGATGGAGTCGACGAAGTTTTCTTCTAAAGTTAAATCAAATAAAAAGTTAATATGTTCAGTGAAAAGCTGCAATAGCACTTCAGACATAGATTTTCACTCTCCACCTACATTAACTACTTTCAAATAAAAACCAACCGTTTTATATATGTAAAAAATATATACGGAAAATTAGAGAAAAAAGTAAACTAATAGAAGCTTGGATGAAAGCAGTAGGTATCAAAGAAGTGAATTCCGGAATAAAAATTTCTTCAAGTCATTTTAATGCACAAGATTATATTTCAGCAAGTATTTATCATCAGCCATAACCTTAACATTTAAAACTAGAATCATACTAAAATTATAAAGTGAGAAATTATTTATTCCTGTGTAATTGATTTAACACAATTCTAATGAAACGATATAAGCATTTTGAGGTTAATAACCTATCTGCTGCAATACAACAAAGTTGCAATAATGTGTTTGCAACGTTCTCATAAATCGGCTTTGCACGTGCAAGTCATTGATATGATATTGCTTAAATCACCCAGAATAATCACCTCACCAATTATATAACGTGAATCACTTTTTAAATCCGAAGTTTGTAAAAAGTAGGCAGTAAACTTGACGGAATTTGTTATTTCCGAATTTTATAATGTGATTGGCATTAAAAACATGCTCACCTTCAACAAAATTTCCTTTCCGAGGCTTTGTGTCAGCCCAATCACATATTGTGTCAATACTTATCATTTTATCGTAATTTAAAAACTTGGAAATTGCACGGTACACTATAGGAACTACGATAAATTTTCCCTAATCGGCGCCATGTTTTTAGGCTCCTCCCATTTGACGGATATGGCATATTTTTCATTTTCAATCTTCTCCAACGTTATCGACGATGGAAAAACGACAACAAATTAATCAAACGATGCACGTCGTGCCGCAATTACCGCCGAACGTCATTATTACTGCAGATATTTAATTAATTTGGAATGGAAATTAAGTCCCTGAAGATGAAGGTGCTTACCAAGTTCGCGTACAAGCCGAGCAAGTGATCGAGCTCGCTCCGCAGCCTGTCTATTCCATCTAAAATAGCTTGACGATGCTCGTGACTTGTATAGGCACTATCTGTAAAATCCTGAGTTCGCTCTAAAATAGCATCCAAGGCAGCCGGTATAGAATCTTGATAAGAAGGATCTGAAAATTAAACCGAATCTAAGCCTGAAGTTTCGACAGTTAGCAGTTGTCATCTACCAAATTTTGCTACTAATTGAACTACGTATTTCAAATATTAGACAAAAGGTTTAAGTACTAAAGTATCTAATAAAACATAATTATCAATCAATGGTTTGCTTGAAAGATGATAACGAATTATTTTTGTTTTTATTTTAAAAAAGATTAATTTTCATTTATATTTTTATTTATTTTAATAACAAAAAAATGTTATAAAATGCTTAATTAATATTTTATTTATTCACCAAAGCAATTATTGAAAGAGATTTGCAAGCAAAAGTTTATTTTGCTTTGACTAAAATTAACGCTGCCGCAGTTATAATCATGCTTTTTTTACTAGGCATAAATATATTGTTACATGTCTATCGCAAAAACAGCTTTATGTAAAAAGCTGCAATACAATCTAACATCCAAAGTTCATATACCTATGTTAAGACTATCGCACGTGTATTTACTTACATAATTAATACATATTTAATTAAAACACAAGAATGTTGCAACAATAATATACCTAATAAAAACAACTTGACAATTGTTTCAGTCTATTCGGTCATATTTATAAGTACAGAAAGTATAAATATTGAAAAATTAGAAGTTTAATCTTAAGCAATTACATTGTCTACACTTTGATACACAATGACCGAATAGTTCGAAACAATTGTCCGGTTATTTTTTATTACATTATTGTTGAAACATTCTTGTATTTTATTTAAATAGATACCCATCTATACTATAGATACCTACATGTATATGTCCCTATACGGTAAATATCCAAACAATAGCCTGTAAATATTAAAAACTATATTGCAATATCGCTTTACTTAAAATCGAACATTTTTATCGTTATATTATACCATAAAATAATTTTCGAAATTATTGTAATATTCCCAAAAATATGAAAAATACTTACTCATACATGCATCGAAAGCATTTCAGTATTATTTTACCAACTACAACACCAATTACAAAATGCATATGAATGCACAGCTTTTTATTGCAAGTCATTGCCTCATCAAAGTGAAAGTAACTACAACCACTCATGCGCAGAGTGAGATTTAAGACATCAAACATCACCCTTCTACAAGATCAACTGAAGAAGTGAAATATTCGTTGATTTATATACAATAAAATAATAAAAGCCAAAAACATTATGCTTGGTTAAGAATATGCTAGGTAAAGAATACGGATTGCGTACTTTTCACAAATCTACCAAAAAACATACACTAGTGTACACCAACCTTTGATTCGTTTTAAATAACCATTAAAATGATAACTTACTAGGAAGCATTATTAATGCAGTAAAGCAAAATTCATTCGTATCTACGAAGTATTTTTTATATGGAATTTATTTTTTCAATGGTTTATAGTTTATTCTGGTAATCAGTTTACTTGTCCCAACAAAATCCTTCTCTCTTCAACTGTTTTAAGGTGTTCTCAAAATTTAACCATCTCAAACTAACGTCAGGTTTAGAGCTTTTCTTAGACATTCAAAATGCATAAAATTGAGATAAAAAAATGTAAATTGATGTTAGGATTAGTTTTGTTCCAACTAAGCGAAAATATTTGATTTTTTTAAAGACATTTCTCCTATTTTTAACTTCAATTTCGTTTTTATTAGGGAGTCAGCGACGTAGTATATTTATTAGACTACATTTTAGTGAGCACCATGATTCCATGGATTATTTAAGCAATTTTTTCACACTTTACTGCTTTCAGCTCTTTCACCTATTTCCCATGATTCCTAAAAGAAGACCATCTGCCTTAATCGCTACTTTGCCCTGCAGTAGGTGTTTTGGCGAGGCGATTTGGAAATGAGAATATCAAAATTTAATGATCAAAATGGATAAAGGAAATGGAGGAAGGTAATATGAATCAGCCAACCAAATACGTGCTCCGCTACCGTCACCTCATTTCGATCATTTCATTTTGAAAATCTTATTTTAAAACGGTTTCGCGAAAGGTACTAATATTTAGGTGGGAAAACCCACCCACAGCCAACAGCTGGTGGAAATAAAATACAAAGTCTTTATGATTCAAAACTATAAATACATACAATAAAGTATTTATGAACTCTAAAACTTAAAAGCTATAACTTTTGCATGTCTTATAACCCTTTGTTTGTAGACTAATCATGTAAAATATATTGTTGAAAATACTTTTCGACTTGACTTTTAATTTCCTTTCACGAAATGCAAAACTTACTCAATAATAGGAAATTCAGAAAGACATTAACAAATTGTACAATCTTCAATGCATGACTGCTAATGTGGTCGCACTTCTTACGTCACATAAAAGTTATGTTGAACATACTATAATCAAGTACAGTCACTCGGTTTAACAATCTACCTACAAAAACTTGAACTTATATTCTTGTATTCCTAATTATGTATCTCATTCTTCGCTTCACAAATCCTAGTTGTGTCCCACATTATGTTTCAAATAACTGCCTTAGGTGTGTATATATCTCTTTACAGTAGCGGTATATCATCATCATAAGGTCGTCAGTTCTAAGACTGGTTGGACACGTACCTCTACTCTTTCCTATCCTTAGCTAATCTTCGCATTTCCCTAAAACTAGAACAACCCACATCCTTAACTATTTGCGAACAGCAATCTAATCTAGGTTTCCATTTAATCCTCTTAACTCCTGTTTCTGCCTCTAATATATCTTTGATTAGACCTTCATACCTGAGAAGGTGTCCTACTAAACTATCTCACCTATTTCTTATTGACTTTCATAGAGTTCACTGTTTACCTATTCTTTCTAATACCTCTTCGTTTCTAATCCACGGTATTTTATCATTCGCCTGTAACACCAAATTTCGAATGCTTCCTACCGTTTCTTTCCCGCTGCGCCCACCGTCCATGTTTCGCACCCGTACAGCACCGCACTCCAAACATACACTTTTAAAAATCTTTTTCGAATTTCTGAATTAACCGTTCGCGAGCATAGAAGTGGCTTCTTTTTATTAAAGGCGACTCTACCCTGCACTATCCTTTGCTTTATATCCCTACTACTCCTTCCGTCCTGACTTATCTGACTTCCTAGATACCTAAAATCAGCCACTTCTTCTAATTTTTCGTCTCCTATCTTTATATTCGCTCTTTCCCTACGTTTTCTTCCCTTACATAGGTACCAGCATTTTTGTTTTACTTTTATTTATTTTCATGCAATACTGTTTTATCAATACCGCTTCCATTTTATTTAAAGCTATCTCTAACTCCTACTGCTAGATGCTAACACAGTTATATCATCTGCAAATCTAAACATACTAATCTTTTGCCCCTGGCAGTGGCAGTATAGACAAAAAAACATTTTACAGCCAGCTGCTTTTAAATTTTGAATCGATTTACGCAATTTAGGCAATTTTCCTGAATCACCTAGGCAGGTGGAACATGAATTATGAGTTAACTTTGCTAATGCCATAAACCGTAAACATCGCTCGCTATTCTTGGCGTTCCATTTAATAGGAAATGCAAATTACATGCGATTCCCAACACAACAAGGTTTTAAAAATTTCTAATTTATTAAACTGCTTTGCCTAGAAACTCAGTTATTATTACTTTTTTCAAGGTATAAAGGGGATATTATATGGAGGATGTTGTCCCATTAATATCTAGTGGATAGGCCTTTCATAACAAATGGGAGACCCTAAGACCATTAAAAGAATTTAATTTTAAGTTTTATTTGAACGTTTTAGATTGGCACCATAGACCAGTCTCTTGCGCACCACTACCATAAATAAAAATATTTTTAATTTCTCAATCAACAGTCAATTACCATTATTACAGTCACAACTGGCCACCAATGGTAAAAAAGTAAAAATCTTCCTTCACTTCCTTCCTCAAAAGGCATTATTTATTCGTCTAGATCAGGGATGGCGAACCAATGGCACGCGTGCCACTAATGACACGCGACACAATATTTTGGGCACGTCACTAATGTTTCTGTGATTGATTCTTAAATCAAGGAATTTTCAGCAAGATTTTCTCACTTCAGAGAATTATCGGAAATACTAATACGAAAGTTTATTATGTACCCTGATGTGACATTCGATAAAATAAATTGAAGAATCTGAAATGCAGCTGATTGATTTCCATTCTAGTTCAATATGATTCAAAAAGTTGTTAGAACAAGGAAAGAGTTAGAAATAATTGAAACAGAAAGATTGACGGGTAATACAAGTGAAAATGCTAATAACAAAATTTTGGATACATGGAATGCGATAACAAACACATTTAATTATTTGACAAAGCTGGCATATGATATTTTAATAACGTTTTCATCAACCTATGCCTGCGAGTCATTATTTTCAGAAATTAATAACATCAAAAACTCGCAGTTACAAACCGTTTGGTAGATGACTCCAGTTCAGCATGCATTCTGGTAAAATAAACATCTTACAACCCTAACATAAGTTATTTGTCATCTAATCTGCAAAAACATAAGTCACACTAATTTTACTTTAATTTAAATTACACGTATAATTTAAACATTGCAAAATGTTCCTATTTTCTTGTAGAATTTTGAGTTGATATTATTTATTATCATTATTTTTCCAATAATCACAGAGACAAAATTATTTGATGGCACGTCTATGACCTGCTTGGCACGACGGTACTTAAAGGTTCGCCATCACTAGTCTAGATCTATGCTGCGCAACCCCATCAGAGTCGCAGGCCACAAAGTAAATAAATCAATTTCAATAATCTCGCTAATTTGAACCAAAAACTCATTACGAAACTTGAATTAAATATTTATTACAATCGTCTGAGAGCAAATTCCAGGACTTTAAAAGTACCTACAAAACTACAAATTTTTGTTAATCCTTTCACGATTAGCTTGACTGAAATAATTAGCGAATTACAAAATCATTCTGCAGAAAAAATTTCTTCAGTCAAATTCTTCAGAAGAATTTGCAGATGATTTCTGAAAATTGTTACCAAAGGAAGTCTCTCCTGCA